ATAAAATAGATAGCCATTGTTAGATAGAAAAGTATAAATAGTTTACTAATATATATCGAAAAGGCAGAGCTAAATGTATTAGGAAAAACAGCTCTCATTGAGAATAGAGATAAGAGTTAGTGATATATCAAAGAAATAGAATACAATAAAAAGACATTTACTTTTGGCCAAGTCAATCACCATGCCTCTGCCTTTCCTAAGTGTTCTTTATAAAAGATTTTCTCTTCTTTATGTTGTTTGTGAGTATTCTTGAGAAGTCTAGGTTATGTGAGGCGCTACAGATTAGCGACGGACTCGTCGGGATAGCCCACAACAATAGGATAAACAAAATCAAGAGAACAAAAGATATAGGATTACTATTCAACCTGACTAAGATGATTTATCTCAATTGAAGAGACTCTTTGCAAGAAGGAGAACAAGAATCACCTATTGATTAAAGCAGATCAAATTGTGAAAAAAATCAATAAATATATGTAGTTCATACTAGAAGATATATTAATAATACTGAACAATGATTCCAATTTCATCACTTTCAATTTCAAAGGCTACGAAATTATCCAAAACATCTGGAAAATATTAAAAATAGTCAATTAAATCAAATATACCTATGTATAGATAAGGCTTAACAGAAATTAATAAATACATAAACAACTTAAAGACAAAATCAACTGGAAAACAACCTTTGAATAGTGATACCTCTCCAAAATCTTCAATAGTAATACAGATTGTATTGACCATGAGATCTATATCTTTGCAATAAAATTATAGAACCTAGAACTTCCACTATAAACAAGCTGTATACATGTCAACCTACTTTATACCAGACTCCTAAATACTTTCATTGCACAACCAATAAGGATATTACACATTTGTTTATATGTTCTATTCATTAATTGGATATCAAAAAGATAATTACTAACATCATCTATAAAGAAATAGTCACTTGAAAAGAGAACAAATTCAGCCATACAATAAAATAAGAAATTATAAATATTCTTAATTAAATGAATACCTGATACATAATTATTAAAGGTGAAATCACTAAAAGACTAATTATACCTATCTTATAATACACAAAAATGGATAAATTTAGCTCAATCATAAAAGATATTACAAATAGTATTCAACTTATTATATATAATATCTGAAATAACAAATATTACTATTTTCAAATATGGAAAGCAATACAAGATATCAATCAATAAAAAAAGTATAACAGTATAAACAAAAAGGAAAAAACAATAATAATAAAAAAAAATGACAAAATAATACCAGTTAGAGAATATCAGCAAACCTTTTTATTGCAATTATTATAGGAACATATAATATTTTTAATATTTTTAATAAAGCATATCAATAGAGCTTAGGTACATTAGCTCTTTTTGAAAAGAAAACAACAAGCTACAAAGATACTTATATACAATTGACTTTTTTGTAAAATTTTGTAAATATATACAAAGAAAAGTAGTTGATAAAATAACTTTGTAAATTCAAATACATATACTATAAGAAAAATCAAATAAAATAAATTTGAGCATACAAAAAAAAAAAAAGAATGGAAATTTGTTTTAAGCTATAAAGAAATATCTTGATTATAATATATTAAAAATAAAAATTATATAAATATATTTAAAAAAGCTTTAATTGATTTAATTTAAATACAAGTTTATTAAAAAGTATAAATATAAAAAAAATTTTAATAAATAAAATTGTAAATTGAATATTTTTGATAATTAACTTTTAAATATATAACTAAAATTAATTATTAATATTTAAGATAATAAATTTGTTAAATTTATTATATTAAACAAACATATAAAATAAATTTATTTTATAATTTTTTTTTTATCCTGCAATTATAAATAATGGCTTGTCTTTATTAAGAAATTAAATAAATCTACAATAATTTACAGACTTTTATAAAGTGATTAACTCGTCTTCATATATAAGTATTCTAAGTTAGATTTTGAAGACAATATTATACTTTCTTGATATATCAATAATGATATCTTTCTATCAGGATTATTGCCAACAGTTTGTCATTATTGATTACTTAAAAACTAATGAATTATTAAGGTAAAAAAAAAAAAAAAATAATAATAATAATTGAAGGAAGAGAACAATTTAAGATCTATCAAAAAATTTCAAAAATAAAAACAATCTCTTCTTAAAAAGGATCTGCATGATTGAAATAGTTTTTTTGTTGTATTTAAATTTTAGAAGAAATCTTCTTTTTTAATATCTGTAATATCAGATAAGTCATTTAACTTATCTTTCATTTAAGTAAGTATCAGATTAAAACATTTCAAGGAAAACATTTAGATTTCAGCTTTTTTTCATTAAAGCTTTATTATCATTTGAGAAATTTAGATAAGAGATGAAAGTTTGCAATTCATATTATCTATCACTTGATCTTTTGATATTATAAAGTTTTTATTAAGGGACTTGAACTTTTAAATAGTAAATATTTTCATAACATTTTTTTTAATTATTAATGATATCATTGAAATATGTAAATATAATCAATAGGAGTTTGTTTATATTATAAAAACTAATATATTTCATATCAGCCAATTAATTATTTTTGGTAAAGATTTATGTTATTCAAAATTTAGGATCAAACTGAAATAAGCAAAATTCTTCAAAAAACTATGAAGATATAAGCTTCAAGAGAATTAAGATAGTCGAAAAAGAAGAAAATAAATATTTTTATTGTAGAAAACTCTATAAATATTTTGTTTTAAAAGTTAGATAGGTTTTTAAATACTTTATAGTCAATTCTTCTTTTTTTGAAAACTTTTTTACCATTAATATCAAAAGTATTACTTGACTTTTCTTGGTTATTAAGAGTTAATTTTTTGAGTAAAAAGGTTTATAAATAAAAGAGAAAGGATAGAAATGATTCTACAAGTCATATTTCAAGTTGTTTTAAGAAAAATATTAATATTTTATTAGCAAAAAAATGTAAAAACTTTTTGCAAATATTTTTTTTATAAATAATTAGAGAATAATAAGTTTATTTTAGGATATTATTTATTAGATATAATAAAAAAGTAATAATGATATAAGAAAATTAAATAATATATATTATATAAATCTTTACTTTACTTTATTTATTGAATTTATCTATTAAATTAATTAAATATTATATATTTCATATTTTATGTAATATGATTTAAAAATGGAACTAGGAAATACAATAAAAAATTATAATAAAAAATAAAAAAATATATAATTAATAATTAAAGTTAATAATATATTAAATAAAATTTTTAAATCTTTTAAAAAAATATAAATTTCAAATTTATTTAATAAAGTTAAAAAATATTTTGATAATTTATATAATAAAATAATTGATAATTTAATAAAAGATATATGTCGATACTTTTTATAATTAAAAAAAAAATGAGATTTTAAATAAAATTACTATAAAGATAAACTAATATGATATAGTTTTAAATATTAATAAAGTGAACTATAAAACAATAATATATTTTTTTAATTTAATAAAATAAAATAGATAAAAAAATATAATTTGCAAAATTATTAGATATATTTATAAAATTTAACATATATAAGCAAAAAAAAAAATAAATAAATAAATATAGAATATCTTTTTTAAGAATTATTCTTTTAAAAGCTTTTTGAGTTGATTTAAAAAAGTATCAATACTTTATCAACTTCAACTTAAAAATTGTAAAACTTTTGCAAATATTTTTTGTAAATATAAAGTTTAAAAATCAATCAAAAAGATTTAATCTTATAAAATGATATTTATATGAATAATTAATAGGTTTTTTTTTTAAAAAAGTACAGCATATTTATTATGTAGATCGACTTTACATTAGTAAAATTGAATTCTTATTCAAATAATGCAAGTTATGATTTGCAATTTTAATTATTTCTTATTTAAAAAAAAAGAAATCAAATTAAATAAAACTAATGAAATGAAAAAACCGGTAATTTTATTTTAAATAATTTATTTAATGAAAAAAAAAAAGGATCCTGTTTATTCAAAAAAATCGATGATACCCAGTTTTAATTTTTATTCGATTTAGAAGAAAATTTTTTTGATTTTTAAATGAAATTAACTTTTATCTTTTAATTTTTAAAGTGAAAGATAAAAGTAGAATAGAATAAAAGAAAAAATAAAAGTCGAATAGAATCGAACAAAAAATACAAAGTAAAATAGAATAAAATAAAAACAAATCAATTAAAATAAAATAAAAAATAAGATCAATTAAAATGAATTAAAATTAGTAAAATGAACTTGACAAAATTAATTAAGTAATAATTAAACTCGCCCAATTGTCGCACACAGGGAAATGTGATGTAACGTAACCAATTCCCAATTTTACCATTGCGTCGATTAAAGCTTACCTTTTATGATTGTTTGGAGGCTCGTTCCGTCATATTCATTGGTTTTCTGTTCTATAGAGCTTCCGTTCCGTCGAGCTTCATGTGCATGCTAAATTTCAAACTCCGTCTTTTTTCATGGATGCAATCTGTAATCGGAGGTGTGATCCGATAATTTTACTTGAACAATATCATCACCATCGCACAATGACCAAACAAATGCTATAGGGGGTGTAGTACATCTCTGGTGTCACAAAATACAATGATATCCGTTCATCTCATGGTTTTTTTTTTTTGGATAGCTCAAAGTTTAATTCAAAATTGGAAACCCGTGGGATTTTTAATAAATATAGCAAAAGAATGGGCGAATATCAAAATTCCTTGAAAACACCGCGTGATTTTATTTAAACATAAAGATCAGTAATCCGGAATTTTGACGAATTCCCCACGTTAAAGTTTAATTAATAAAACAATTAATTGATTAATCTATTATTCCAAAATCAATGATCGTCTAACATAAGGGCTGATAAATAAACATTGCATTGTACATCAGATGCTAGATCAAAAATGGGTATTGTTATCCATATTAGACAGCCGAAGGAAGACTGACTGCGCATAATGAGAGAGTTTCCATAACACCGCCGCTAATCACTGTTGATGAAAGTATTAAAGCGAAGAAGTTTGGCAACTCCGAGGATCAAAACCCTACCTGTTTTGGTACGAGAAACGTACTTTTTCTTTTCTTTTCTTTTCTTTCTTTTTTGTTTTTACAAGCAAGCATTTTCTCATGAAAAACCGAAACATTCATTCCAAAGTTGTGCGACAAGGTTTACGCGGTATCACAATTGTCGAACATAATTATTTCTTTTGGGTACACAATCTCGGTTTCAATTTTGGAAGGGCTAAAGAAAGAGTTTACATTCCCCGAGTGATTTCATGGTCATGGAACTATATAAGGGCCTCATTTTTCCCTTTGTCAGAATGAGATTCTTATCTCGAAAAAATAATGATGCATGCTCCGGTAAATTTTAAACTTTTACTATCCGTCATCCTCGTGTTTCCTAGCTTGGTCAGGGCTATTGGTGACGAGGATCCAGCAGAGCAGACGGCGGTTGTTGAATCGGTCTTTGACTTGATGGCCACCGTTCTAATTGCGTCGGTCATAACCATTGATGTTGAATACTTAAAATACAAGAGCATCGAAAATATACAGCGGATACACACGTTTTTCGATGCAATTAGTTATTTCGTCAGATTTGTGGTGATGGCCTTTCAAATTTGGTTTATCGTTAAAGTTTACCGCGAGACCCAAGATCTCTTTTTCATTGCATATCTCATAACAATATTTTTTGAGATAGCCCTTTTATTTATTTTGGTTTGCATATTTCGTCTTCCACGCATACATGTAAAATACAAGAACATGATTCCTCCGCTTTTAACTTCCATGTTCGCATTCGCCAAAGATCTGACCTTTGGTTTCCTCGCCGTGAAACGAAACTATATAGACAAAACAACTCATTGGTTTGTCTTTGGACCCATTATAATCGCGTTTTGCATTGGGGTGTTACTGTATATGTATATTCTTGCGTTTTCTGAGAAGCTGGACGACGAGGATCTTTTTGCCGATTCGAGTTTGATCAATAACCGAGCCATGAGAAAATTCTCAAGGGCGAGATATATAATTGATTTCTGTTCGTATTTGATGTTCTGTCTGATTGCCGGACCGTCAGTTCTTTGGATAAAGTCTTTTCTCACGGTGGCGTTCGTGGGTTTTACGATGAAAGATCTGTCCGTGAGATTGCAACATAAAATAGAGAGGCGTCGGGAAAAGGAAAAGGAAGCAAACCCCAAAGGCGAGAACGGAGTCTGATGCTGCCGATGTGACGGTGGTAGGTGTGGATTGGTTTCGTCTCAGATGTACAATATGGTAATAGTATACTTACGATAGTGGACATTATAAAGATTTAAAATAGTTTTTTTCTTAAATTAATTTAATTTTGCGAGGAGCATCAAATCAAATCATCCATGTGAACGGGATTTTTTAATGGTCGGGAAAACCTTTTCGCGAAAACGGGTTGGTTCAAAGCATAACTCGAGATGACCACCCATTTTTTTTCTTTGGGCATTGCCCGATCAAAGTTTACCGGCGTTGTAATTGAAAAATATCTACATTCATACAATTTTTCACTATTGTTTTCTGTAATATTCTGCCTTCCATTGAAAATAATTTAATTAAAAATTTAATGACATTGTGTCTTATTGGTTAAATCAAACGTCTTTTTCGTAAAAATCATGATCTCCGCGCATGCATATACTGTTTACGTGTCTGATTGATTTCTGTTCTTCACTCAGAAGCGTGACATGCCGCTGGAAAGGATGGACGCGGTACGTACAGTACGTTCAAATGATAATTCATGCGTAGACAGTATATTAACTTGACTACAGCAAGATGAGGATGTACTTGGCGGTGAATGAAGCCAACCGAAATCTGGCGCTTGTTCCAAGCAATTTGAGAATTTGAATTGGTTCCGTTATACTGTAATGCGTAAAATTTTACGTCTGTCGTTTGATGGTTTCATTTTGGAAGCACGGGTTGCCGTATTCCCTCTAGTTTATCAAGTGCAACACGCAATCATCCATGATGGCGTCGCATACGTTCAAACAAGAAAATTGTTCTTCCCTATTGGTATCATTTTTTAGTGCGCGGGTAATTTAAATGTTCCTTGATTTTACTGTATAGCGTAAAAAAAAAAAAAAAAAAAAAAAATTTTTTTTTTTTTTTTGTGGATTTATCGATTTCTATTTATCTCATCATTTATTACCCCCAAATTTTTAGCTGTGATGGTGAATGAAATTGCCACACCTTGGTCAGGTAAGTTTACGCGGAATGCTTGTGGTTGCGTGTCAAAAACATATCAACACAACGCTTTCGCGGAATCTTCGAATGCCAGGATAAAATTGGTAGAACTATTAATCAAGACACATACTGTATTCTGTGTATTTAAAGGTGCGTCTCCCTTCCCTTTTACCGAGTACGTACGTAATTACTATATAAATTTCTGGCAATCTGAACGGATCACACTTGATTGAAATATGTCCTCGCATTTGCTACGCACCTTGCTGAACAGATCGAAACCCGTGAACATTTCATGTTGAAAATGTCAAATAAAAAATTGATGGAGGACAGAGGATACATGATCCGCAATGAAAAAGATCTCCAGAGGTCACAAGAACATTTTGAGTTTGCATGATTATTGAGGCTCAAAATAGTCGTGCATTTCTTTATTATTTATTATAAGTGGGGTTGCTAGGTTTTTTTTAGATGCATTGTTAATTTGAGATCTGAAATTAGTGTGCCTTGCGACATAATTGGCGATCTTCTTGACCGTACCTGCGTCAAGGGCAGTTATAGCGAAAACGAAGCAGTCCATCCGGTGAAAAGTATAACGGAAGCGATTGCCTATTCCCATGATAACGGAATTGTTCATAAATGTAAACGAGTTTCGATGATTGAGATTGTTTATGACCTTTCCCATTTTCATAAAAAATTACAGTATATGGAATCCCGAATCTTTTGATCAAGATTGTCACACGAAAGCGTCTCCCGAGACCATTCTATCACTCATTCTTTCACCTGTTTGTAGCCAGAGAGTATTTTCTTCAGAACGACTGACAAATATATTGGTAACTTTAAATTATCTCGAATTATCGATTATGAAACAATTCATATTCTTGTTACCATGAGTGTCAATCTTGATTACGTGGTAATAACAAAATGGTTGTCATTGATAGAGGGAATTAATTAACTGACTCATTTTTTTTTTTATCACGCTGCAAAAGATTTTATTGATGACCTGTTAACTGTTAATCTAAACCGTCGTATAACCGTCCACCTCACCGATGGTTATCCGAACCTCGGACAATCTCATGAGCTCAGGAAAGTAGCGAACCCCATCAAAATAGTCAAAAAGCTCAGAAGTACCAACGATAATATCGTCGAGGAAAACGTTGGTCAAGTGCTACATCTTGAGCATCGATGGTGACTTTTTTTTTTTTTCAGCATTGATTATGTGAGTTGATTAAATTCTAAAGGGACATACTGTAAATGATTGATCTTGTGTGACGTTTATTTGGCTGATTTTTATGCGGTTTGCCTAATTTAGCACATTGTTTTTGAAATGAATGTCGGGTCCATGCATCGAAATGAAGAAATGGGTAATTACGTATTTGGGCACCATAATTGTGATCCTAAAATTTACGCTTTGTACAAAAGTAGGGGTCGAAAAAATCATATCCACCATTCTTGTTGCCTTCAAAAATAATTGTCAGATGATCGAAAAATGCATATACTCTAACAAATAAAAATACAGTAAACCCAAAGTTTTTCTATTTCGAGTTCAAATAATGATTAATTAATACGTTCCACATTTTAATTTTACCTTTAATGATTCTTTTAAATTCATGCTAAATCCCTTATACAGTATGCATTCTAGAAATTGATCATGATTTGATGTACTCCGTTTGCGAAAATTGTTGTCGTATGTCGCATTGATACCTATATGATGACATCTGTTGGATGTTTATTAATTTGTCTGATTTCACATGTAGGGTCATAATTTGCAATTCACTTTGATGTTTGTTTATTTTGACGCATCCAATCATCAAACATATTCTATCTTCTCATATGCTAAGGGCCCTCGAATATCATACCATTCGTCCACCTCGGTCACTCAAAAATGACAAGCATCCCGATGAGAAATGATTCTTCAAAAACGGCGTAGCTGTAAATGAAATATGGCGGACAAAAACTGTAGGACTTGGAAGAAGAACGTTTTGAGACCGGAGTTACGGATATTCTTAATAAAAGTTATGGCTTTCTTTGGGAGTTGGTGGAAAACATCCTCCAGAGAGATTTCGATATTGACACCACTTAGGTGCGTTGGGTAACCTCAAATCTCATTCCAACACTTACGCGCAAAAATGTCGGACAGTTCGACTGATTTCGCATTTTCAGGGAGTCATTTGACCATAAAGAGGGTAGGATTAGGTTACACAAATCACCAAGCCTCAGAAAACTTGAGGTATTGTATACGTATACAGTACGTACATTCTCAAATGCATACAGAGAGTTTAGGATTGATTAAGCGCATTGAGCTCTGTTTTACATTCTACAGCCTTTCGAAATTCGATTACACACCGATAGAACTTCAGACACTATTCCGGCGGGTTATTAGCTTGTAAGTACTCGACATGAAAATGGTCAGTTTTGTTATTCTATATTATATTGGCAAAAATTTAAGCTTTAAACGTACTGTATCTATCACAAAGTCCATTTAAGTAAACGACAAGAAATTTATTGTACGGTGGTCTTCAACTTTCTGGCATGTACTGTATTTTTAAACGTAGGACGCAACATCTGTGGTCGAATGCGCTTTCTTAATAAAAATATATAAATGACGGTTACCTCTACTGCCTACAAAGGAAGCGTCAAAAGTTATCTTTTTATCACCAACCTTTTCAATAACCATAACAAAGAAAACAAGAGAGCTTTGCAGAATAGTCATTATATTTTTAGCATAATGTTTACCTGGAAGATTAACGGGAAAGTTGTCTCAAAATTCATTTATTTAGAAATTTAATGAAAAAAAAAAAAAAAAAAGGACTATTAATCTATTTTTAATATTTTTTAAAAAATTTTTACCATAATTTTTAAACACATATTTTTTTTTTTTTTATAATTGACTAAAATAAATAAGAATTTTTTAATAATCAATCATTATTAATTAGTAATATCTCAAAAATGATTAATTTATTTTAATATTTTTAAACTTGTTAAAAGTTAACAATTTAAGACATACAACTAAAAAAGAAAAAATTATTAAAAATGAATATATAGTTTTTAAGATATCAACTATAACAGTATTATTATTTTTTAAAAATTATAAGTCATTATTTTTTTTTACCGTATAGGCGCGAAATAACACCCATGTGCGTTATTTTGAAAACAGCTCATTTAAAAAAATAAATATTTATTTTAAAATAACACCCATGGGCGTATTCGAAATAACACGCACTTATATATAAAAATATAATAATTAGCAAAACTGTTTAAAACTTTATTATTTAATAAAAAAATTATTTTTTAATTTCTATTTATTCATAAT